CTCTTTTTGAGAAAAAAATAAAGCCTGGTACTCGTAAAACTTGCATGTCTTAAGTAGTGCAAGAGCTGAACAGGAAAATGGAGGACACTAGTGTATCGCTGTATTTTTTTGTGTCTTGCAGGAATAGTTTTCAGTGTTTTTGCCCCATGTCCTGATACACAAGGGTATAAAGCTAAAAAATTGACGAGTGTATCAGGTAGCTTTACTACTGATAGCCATTGATAGCCAACAATAACTACCTCTATACTTGCATTTTAATTTAGTTCACATTAGCATCCCCCAGCTTCTGAACTGAAATAGTTCCTGTAAACAAACATGGAAAAATTGCCATATGCCGTCTATTTAAAAAGTGTTTTTATTTGCTGTATTTGAACAGTGCAGTTGAAGTCCTGTTTTTTCTGGTATAGTGCTTGGAAGGGAGACTTAGATGTCAGGTTAGTTGACTTGGCTCATCTCCTAAGTATTTATCTGGCCTGAGAACTGATGTGTTCTCAGAAAACTGTCATGTTAAACCGTGTTAGGCTCCTGCTGCATTGCAATCGATTAGCCAGATGCAACTCATACCATGTTATTAACAATTGTTGTTTCAAAGATGCTTGCGTTGTAGCACACAAGCCTCTGATGTGTTTTAACCTGTTCAATCCTAGTTATATTTGGTTTGTTTTTCCTAGTGTATAGAAATAATGCTTATAAAGATTAAAAGAAAAAGGCTAAGTTTTGTGAGCAAACAAAACTCAGTTGTTAGCTGAATTGTCCCTTTACATTTTCTGTGAAAATTATGTACACCTTCTATTAGACCAGGTTGATCAAATGCTCAAAGCCTCATCTAACCTGACCTTGAACACTGCAAGGGATGGGGAGTCACAACTTCTCCGGTCAACCTGTCCAGTTTGTCAGTCTGTCAGATCACTTTCTCTGTGACCTCTCACAGCGAGGAAGCTTTTTGTGTATGTTGAGTACTTTTTGCAGCAGAAGGGATATTTCAGGTACATGTGAAATCACTGCTACTTATGAAGATGACTACTACTATCAAGGTGTATATAGAGACATCTGCAATTCAGAACGTGAACTGGGAGAAGAGCATGTTCGTAATAATTACTGCTTAATAATCTGAATGAGGAAAAAGAAACCAGAAAAAGAAATTTTTAAAGTGCTGTCAGTTTCTTTAAGATTAGACGGAAATTTGCCCCTATAGGAGATGACATGAAGCAGTAGTTCAAATACCCTTTTTGTTTACTTAGGATGCTTTAAGTCTTTACCACCTGAGTGCCTGGAAGTATGAATAAACATTGGAGTGACAGGTTTCACACTGCTGTGTCATAAGTTTGCACAGTAGGACTGAATGGTTTCTGACACTATTGGCTGATCTGTTTTCAACTAAAAATGCATTTCAAATTCAGGGAAAAGAAAGCTCTTTTCCATCTTTGCTCTTCTTAGAAGAAATTATTTTTTTACCTAATCCTTCCTGAAAATCAAAGTTTCTGAAATGCACAGAATTAAAGGAGTATTATACTAGTGAACAAAGAAATGTAGTTTAGGTGCTTAAACCCATAAGGAGAATATATGCATTTATGTTTGTGAAAAATTACCAGAAATCACTATTTTGTGTAAATTCTCATCTCAAAACTGTTCTTTTGTAAGATGTAAACAGATATCAGTTGGTGGAAAAAAGACAAAAGGCAAACAATAAATCTCTTCCTTTGTTAATTCAATTACATTGAGCCAAAGTAGTGTTCCCATGGTGGCAGCTTGACACAAGTTCAAGGATTAAATGTTGAGGATGTGGAATAATTCCTTTGACTGTGGCCAACTTGGATTTACAGCTTTTTATTTAGGCAGCCAGAGCTCAGCCTTGGCAAACAGCAAGGCTTGCTTGACATCTTTTCCAGTGACTTGTCTGTAAAAAAAAAAAAAAAAAAAAAAAAAAGAGTAAAATTCAGACTCAGTCAAAGGTTGTTTGGAAAGGCTGTAAAGAAGTCCTAGAATGATTTGGGTTGCGATATATAAAGATAATCTAATTCTAACTGCCTTGCTGTGGGCAGTGACATCTTCCACTAAACCAGGTTTCTTAAAGGCCTGTCCAACCTGGCCTTGAACACTCCGAGGGACTGGGCAGCCACAGCTTCTCTGAGCAGCCTGTGCCAGTGCCTCACCACTCTTACAGTGAAGAATTTCTACTTATATCTGCTTTGAATTTACACTCTTTCAGTCTAAAGCCATTACCCGTTGTCCTGTCACTACATGCTCTTCTTAAATGTTCCTCTCCAGCTTTCATTGTTCATTGTTAAATGAACAATTGAAAGAAATAAACTAAAAAGCCATTGAAATTATTTGTTAGATTCCAACAATAACCTCACAGTTGTTGTTAATAAACAAATAAGGAAACACTTAAAATGAAACAAAGATTAAAGAAAATATTTTTCATTTGTATACCATATTTAATTTTAAGAACTCAGAACTTTTTTCAGATAATGATTAAGGTTGAGTAAACCCTGGGAATAGAGGCAGGTATTATAATTTTTTTTTTTTTTTAGATAAAAATGTTAAGACATTGATTGATGTAAGCTTTTCATCACAGACCATCTGGAAGTCACCAACAGATAACAGTTCCTTCTTTCATACTTTTTATAGATGACAGCTGTGTAATTCAAAATTAATAAGCAAATAGTAAAGGAAGAATGTGGTGTTCAGCACAGCAAAATACTTTGGTCACCAAGATGCTCTCAGTAACAGTGAATTAGTAAACTGCTGTGATGGTGTATAGAGGAAACTAAGAAGTTGTTGAGAAGCAAAAGCTACTTGTTTGTGAGATTCAAAGCTACACTTGCTGTTCTCTTGACAAGAGAAGAAATAAAAACTTGTCAGAATACAACCAATAAGTATGTAATTTCTAAAATAAATGTTTTGTGGAGATTAAAATCAAGGTAATGCTTCTTAAAATTGCTGAAAGTGGAAAACAAAGTAGTTGTCATTTAAGACAGAAGATATGCATTCAATTTCTTATTTCAACTTAGAAGAATATCTTGATGCCAAGTACAGCATAACCCAACTGAGTACCTACTGGGTACTTTCTGAGCTGTCTGTGGATTTGTATTTATGTTGTTATATTCATGTTGTTGTTATGCTTATGTTGTTGTTAAATTTACAGTTTATGTAAATGAACAGCTTATGGTATGGGAAACTGAACCTGAGTCTTTTTTTCTGAGGTGAGTAAATTTATCACTATATGGAATCAGTTTCTCTTATGTTGCTTCTCAGCTTCTTTGGAAAATAGTTTTTTGTGGCAGCTACCACCTACTAAAGCCTATGCTGGCTTTTCTCTACTACTACTGCAGAAGAGCGTAGCATAAGTTACAATTACACCTTCATTTTGGTAGCTGACATACTATATTGCCTTCATCACTGTAGTAACTTGTGCCTCCTACTCATAATGTATTTATCCTCACAGTACTCCTGTGATGTTGAGCAGATGGTAAAGTGAGTCACTAGGTACAGAGCTTGACTCCTCAAGATCAGGCAAAAAGACTGTGATGAAACCAATCCTGGGTTTCCTTTTTCCTACTGCTAGATCCCTCATGCTCTGCTGAGAACCATAAGAGTCTCCCTCCACAGGATGATGGATATCAAGATTCTCTTCCTTTCCCTATACCCTTGGGAAAAATGAAAAGAGGAGGTCCTCTGGGGGCCCTTGTCTTATGTAAATATTCAAAAGTGATGGTTGAGGCTTGGCGCATAGCTGAATAATATTAGAGTTCTCAAATTATGTTGACTATGAAACAGTCAAAGATAATCTTGAGTCAGATAAAAAGTATGGCTCTCTTACATTTCCTCTGACTAGCACACGCTGGCTCCTACTGAGTTCAGCCAGTGGATGATTAATTTCAGTCTGTTGATTCTACTGGCAACTGCTACAAGTGTCTCTTCTTGGATAAGCTGGCTGGGTTTATAAGGACACAGGAGCTGAGGGTGATGTATTACACTGTTCCTGCACAAAGAATTAACACTGTAGTCCTCTGTACAAGGTAGCAGTCTGGCAGGACTCCTGTGAGATGTGGAGTACATGACTGAATGAGGCAGCCTCTTTTCTGGAAATCTTCGTGTTCTCCTAGAGTGAGACTGTTGTTTCCTAGTCAACTCATTTGGAAAGTATGTTGTCTCTGACATGCCACTAGCATCCTTTCTGGCAGGGGACTTAATGGTATCATCTCATTCAACAGTCTTAAGGGATTTTGAGCTTTCACATTATTAAACATATATTCCATTAGCCATCTAGTCTAGCAATTGCATGTTAATTTATGTAAAACCTAAATGCATCAACATGACATGGGAAGGATTCCCAGAAAGTGAAAAAATTGACCTTTGGTATTTAGTGCTAACCTGACACAATGGAAGCAGAATACATTTTTTTAAAAATGTCATGTGCTACCTCTGCCCAACAGCCCCCAGATTCTGAATGCTTTTTCTTGCTGTCTTCTGTCCTTCCCCCTCTCATTTTTACCTGTTATATTCTCAGGGGAAATAATTTAATTCTATAGATGGACAGAAATTTTTCAAGGAAATATATTTATATAGTGGATTAGTTTTCTTCTTAAAGCGTTTGTAGCGAAGTGGGAATGTCAGAGGCTAGTCTCGTTTCAATACTTTTTGTATAGTGTTAACATACTTACCATGTGTTTAATGATCAAAAGATTTTAAAATCAAATATTGATACTTTGTATGCTAAAAGTTTCAAGAAAAAATGTCAAGCCTAGCATTAAAGGAAAAAAGTCTAGAATATCTAAGGGTAGATTATTAAAGTATTTTGCTTAACTTGAGTAATTTTTTCTGTTACTTGGATTCATGAAAATCTCTGATTTTGATATACCATTCATACTGGAAAGATTAACTAAAATCTTGAAGTGAGTGAAAAAAAAACCAATTTCTTCTATAATTTATTTTACAATCTATCAAATAATTTCCTGGAGTAAATTATAGCATTGATGCATATTAACCACCAGAGCTTTGAAGAAATTACCTTTTGAAAAAACAACATTGCAGCTGATACTATTATAAGAAAGGTGCTTGCTGCTTCCACCTGGAAAACCTGGCAAAGGAACACAAAGGAGGGAACAAGACAGTAAAGATGTGCCATAGCCTGCTGGCTGAACTTTATAGAAAAATATGGTGTATGAAATTTGTAATTTTGAAATTTTGAAGATAAAGTTTCTCACAGTTGCATTCAAACTATCTTCCTGTTCTAGAGTTTCACCTGAAATGAACAACTGTAAGCAGCATTAGTTGGCATAAATGATTACAGAATTTTAAGTATATTTTTACAGATTCTTTTAATTAATTCAAATAAGTTTACGTTCATTTGTGAAATTAGTGAGAACTGGACTCAAATTTGTATTTGATATTATTGCAAATTAGTAGGACAAGGAGAATTTATTAGACATAGTGACAAACTCACATGACCAAGGTTATCTGCAAATCTCCTTCCAACCTTGTAATTCAGCAGTAGCTTAGGGAGTAATACTGAAGGAGTAAGAGGGAAACTGTATTGTCTGTAAGCCAAAATCCCTTTGGCCTACAGCGTCTTCACCTGTGTTACTCTAATGTTTCATTTTCCCTGTAAATGCCTTCTGCAGCCTTTACTGTCCGCCCTGATAGTTGTCAGACTTTCCCATGGCCTTTAGTGCTAGGATAGTCATCTAAGGGTATGGAAAACATCAGAGGCTGCTAGTTTTCCATGAATTTATTTTCAAGTGCTGATACCTTTTAAGGGTTGCCAAATATGTGTATGAATTAATAAGTGTTAAAATGTTCTTACTAGGCATGCCAAGTTTGCCAGTTCCCTCCATAGCTTACAAGCTTCTGTTTATTTTTGAATTACCAGGGCAGTGCAGTGGTAAGTATAAGTAAGTAAAACTCTGCTTGGGAATAAGTCACCACCTATTATATGGAAGAGGGATAGATTTTGGATGTCATGATGTAGCATGGGTCCAGGAGGTGAGAGGTCTGCTACCTGAGGAAGGCAGCTTGGAAAGATCATAGCTCTTGGAGGTCCAAATAAGCAGGAACTAGGCTCTGCTGGCAAATGCATTGAAGATTATCTCAATAAAGTGACTGGCAATAAGCATAATCCTGGGTTTGAGAAATAAACCTGCAGTTCAACACACTGTTCTAGTCAGATTGCTGACGTCTGCCCTAGGGAGTCTGCACTGAAGTATCAAACATGGTGCAGTGATGCAGGGCAAATTACATTTAAAATAAATGAAGGAAAGGACATCAATATGCCCAGAAATGTCAAGCCTGGTAGCAAAATAGTCACAGGAGATGAGCTGAATTAGTGCTGGTAAGCTAACAAGCTTGAAATTCAGTGTTGAAGTATGTTAAAGGTTAGTACAGGAAAAAAAGGATATCCAGTTCTCCATGCCACTTGATATTAGGCAAGAATTGGTGTAGGTACAGCTACTTGTGCTTTTGGACAGGTCTGTTGGCCACATGCCTCTTACACCTCTTTTCCACCATATATTTTGCAAGGCTGTGAATCCAGATCACATAATCAAAAGGAAGAAGAATTGACAAAGTGAAGAGTTTGGTATTTTTAAGCTTTTGCTGTGTTAAGCGACATCACATTCAAGAGAGCAAAAATCAAACTGGTGGTGGCTGGTGTTAACGCAGACCACTAGCAGGGAATGTGAGCTATGTGGCAGGTGGCAAGCAGCAACATAGTCTCTAACCAAGGAACAGCTGATCATGGTATTGTTTTCTGAAGAGATGAAGGATGGAAAGTGTATTTTTGGGAAGAGATCCTTGAAATTGTGTGCCTCAGCTACTCTTAACGATCTGCAGTCTAAAGATGAAGGGAATACTACATAATTTAGAGGGTTCAAGGATGACAAAATCAAATGATATTTTGATAGTCTTAGATTCTGGGGAACCTAATTCTGTCATTTCCTGCTATAAGGAAGAGAACAATGAAAATAAACCTGTATTGATTTTGTTACTTTGCATGCAAAGAAGGGTGTGCTGCAGTCTCTGTCCAGGAGTTTCAGTGAGCTATGGCTTTGTTCCAAGAGATCTTACCATCTAAATTTTAAATATGACATGATGAATGAGGATGACATGTAGTAAGAAAGATGGTGGGGTAAAGACGGACAAAGAGGACAATGATGAAATGCTACAGGGCTCAGGTTAGGCATACGAATAAGTTGTGTAAGATAATAAAGAAAAATTGGATGGTGAGTTTGTTGTTTTGCCTACTCTGGTTAGTAAATAATTCCAGTGATGTTGTGAGTATCATCCGTCTTTATCTAGCACATCAAGTGAGACCAAAGACCCAAGATCTGACTTCCTTCATGGCTTTACCTCACCCAGCTGCATGGTGTCTCTCTTTACTTTCCCCAGTGCCCTCCTCACTTTATCAGCTGTCTTGTCCTTGCCCATCACCACTGCAGAGTCAAAACCCCAGCTCTGCTGAAGAAGATGGGCATTGTTCCATAGGTTTCAGCAAAGCCAAGATTTCCCTTGAGCTAGGAGTGGTTTTGCCATGTTTGGCAGGCAAGCCCTGCTCGCTCCTTCTGCCAGAGTGGCAGAGAGGGAAGCATCTGGAAACAGACTCAGTGCTTCCGCCTTCCCACACTGTGTGACACTCTCTGCCTGCCATGGGCTTGTAGTGGGCACAGAAATAGTATGGAGATGAGTTTTGAATTAAAACTTAGGTAGGTAAGCAGACAGCTTCTGGCCAGAGGAATAATAATAATTTCTGGTAATAGCAATTGTCACACTAGTGCCTGCTGAGGGATGCAGACAGTTATCAGACACCAAAATTGCTAAAGGGAGACGGATGAGTCAGCAAGATAAAACTAAAAATTCAGATGTGCTCTGAGAATATGCTAGGGTGTGTTATGGTCAAACCAGAAGCACTTAGTTTGTTTTTTCAACATAATGTGGCAGATTCTGCATTGTCATTCTTGACTGTGATGTTCATGATGTCAGAGAATGTGACTTTAAAGAATAATTTATTTTCTTGAACTGCTTACAGTCTTCCATCTACTTATTATTAGGAATACAAATATGTGCTTCATGTTTTAAATTAAAAATGGAAAGCTTATTAATCATTGAGAAATTCTAAAAATATTAATTTTGAAATATTAACATCGCAAAGCTTTTCCCAGCAATATATAAAGCAAACCCTTCACAATGACATTTTGTTGCCAGATTTTGGGTTTTGATTAAGGCAGACTTATGATGTTTTTTTACCAAACTAGTAATTCTCTTTTGGGTATTGCTAATCTTTAGAATTTAAATTGCAATTAAAGATAAATTAACAGAGGCTTAAATTCTTCTAACAGAATATCAAATACACATGTAACAATTTTTTTTTATTTACAAGGTATTTGTTTGAAAACTTAAAAAAATTACTTCTATGTCAAAGTTGAACGGACTGATTTGGTTTACAACAGTTGGAAATGAGCATTCGCTGTTTTAAAACAAAGGAGAGCTTTTATGCCTTTGTAGTATTGAAGACAAAGAAATGATGTGCTCTAAGTATTTCATAAATTTAAACTGCCTCATCCATCTGATTGTGAGATAATGATCTTTTTGTTTAGAAATCTTTTTGCTATAATACTTTTAACTACAAAGGGTGTAAAAAAACTAATGAAAATCACAAGACATGAAATTAAGTCTATTACACACTCCAGAGTTTTTCCGGCATGGAGTTCCTTTCGTGTCCATGTATTTGGTCAGGATTTCTCATATTTAAAAGCAAAGCCATCTACTCTGTGTGACCCTGATCCCTTTAAATAATGCTTCTTCACTTAGGTGAAGAGCACTGGAAATCTGTTTCAGGTGGAGCAGTGAGCTTCACTACAGGCACTCCATTCTCTGTTTCCAGCTCAGGTCACTTGAAGCTTATCATAGTCCAGATAAAAGAAACAAGTTGCCTTGTATTATAAACCTTTTTAACTTTGAAGATCAACTTGTTGGGAGATAGATTTTTAGGCAAGACTCTGAGCATGGAGTAGGAAACATGGGAAATGATGCATGGGTTATGGAGGAGCTTTGTCTTCTGTCTCCATAGCAGAAAGGCTGCTTGGGTAGCAGAGGCTGCCTTTTGCTAATGTCTTGGACTTCTGGAAGTGTGGAAAACTCCCTTCCCCTGCCTGGGCTTTCCTCCCCATTACCAAACAGCATCTCCCTGTTCTCTCCTTTCTTCTGCACCTCCTTCAGGTGCACATTTATGAACAGTTTGTATAGCATGAGGCCAAACTGATCTCCACTGGAAAACCAGCATAGAGCTTTCGCACTTTCATATTGAAAACTACGGCTTTACAGGGAGTTTGAAGTCAGTCACTCTATGTTCTTTCTTAAATTAGGACAGCAGACAACAATACAAGGGATGTATTGAATACTAAACTGGCTGTACAATTGATATAAATATAATTCTGTATGTTATTATGCTGATATGCTGTTTTTAAGTGGAGATTTAGACTGGATATTTGGAAAAATTTCCTTACCGAAAGGATGAACAGGCACTGGAAAAAGCTTCCCAGGGAAGTGGTGGAATCACCATCTCTGGAAGTGTTCAAAAACCGGCCCTTAGTGACATGGTTTAGTGGTGGACTTGGCAGTTCTGGCATAGAGGTTGGACTTGATCTTAAAGGTCTTTTCCAACCTAGTTCATTCTGTGACTCTAAGAAGAAATGTAGATTGAAAATTCATACAGAATGGAGAATATGGTATGTTAATGCCAGGCCAAAATATTTTAATGTTTGCAGCATAAAAGCAGCAATATGTATATTATAAAGACCTCAAGCTTAACTCACCATTTTTACACAAGTATATTTACGTAATTAACCTTACAGTTATTTCAAAAAAAATCAGCCAGCACTCATAATGAAACAACTTTGTGCTGAATTTCTCAGAAAGAAACTGTTTGAATTGAACATTTTTAATATATGCTGCTAACATTTGTAATGGCACTTCTAAAATCAGTGTAATCAGTCATTTAAATAGAAGATTTGCTTTTAACTTGACAGAAAATTTATTCTATACTGAAAGACCAAATTCTCTAATTTCTGGAAGGATGCTGTGACTAAAATGCTTCAATTCCCCTTCCAAGTTGCAGAGTTTAACTCAAACTAAAGCCTTGCTCATCGCTTCCATAATGGCGCAGAAATTCATATTTTCATAGAATCATAGAATCATGGAATAGTTAGGGTTGGAAATGACCTTAAGATCATCTAGTTTCAACCCCCCTGCCATGGGCAGGGACGCCTCACACTAAACCATATCACCCAAGGCCTCGTCCAGCCTGGTCTTGAACACTGACAGGGATGGAGCATTCACAACCTCCCTGGGCAACCTATTCCAGTGCCTCATCACCCTAACAGTAAAGAATTTCCTCCTTATATCCAATCTAAACTTCCCCTGTTTAAGTTTTAACCCGTTACCCCTTGTCCTGTTACTGCAGTCCCTAATGAAGAGTCCCTCCTCAGCATCCCTATAGGCCCCCTTCAGAGACTGGAAGGCTGCTCTGAGGTCTCCATGCAGTCTTCTCTTCTCCAGGCTGAACAGCCCCAACTTCCTCAGCCTGTCTTCATTTTCTGTTAGGGATAGTGTTTTATAAGTTAGGAAGTCAGTGAGTGGTTTCACCTAGAACTATTTGAAAAATTATTCTAATCGATCCTGTTACATATTTATTTTACCTACAGCTGAAGCTGTATCTTAAATAGGCTTAAATGAGATTTAGTACCTTTGCCTGAAAGTGGGAAATAGAGAGATACAATCCATTCAAAATAGAAAGAAGAAAGATAAATCATCTCAGTAAGTATAAGTAAACAAAATTATATCTGAAATCCCCAGCTGGAATAGCACTGGTTTTTACTGCCTTGCACAGGAGAAAAAAATAAAAAAGTCAATAAACGTGAGACACCTGTGCCAACAGAGAGCGATTTTCTTGATCAGTAGACCAACATCTTGCTGCCTTTTTGTTCCACCTGCTGTTCAGCTAAAGATGGGACAGGGAGAAGATGTTGCAGTAAATGAGACAGAAGGGGAACAGTATTTGAAAAATATTTAAAAACACATATGTTAGATGTATTTTTCCCCGCTGCATCTTATATATATGTATCTATCTATCCATGTATAAAACCTTTTAAAAAAGCTTTCTTGATTTCTGTGAATGAAAGCAGAAAATAATAGTGCAGTATCCTCCTAAGAATAGCAAAAGGTTTTAGTTTATTACCCTGGGACCTGTAGGCTATCAGGAAAAGACTGTGCTTCTGGGGGTGTTGGCTCCTCTTTGTCATTTCAGGATCCTGGGAGGACTGAGATGAACTTCACTGGTTCTTACCCTGGATTTTGACTGAAAGTAAATTTTGTGATATCACAGTCCAGTACCCGCTGGTCCCCCAGGGACTCAGCAAGCTCCCCAAGTATGGTGATACTTGAAACTTCTCATTTTCATTTTACTTCGGCCTTAGCTTTCAAGAATCAAAAAGTCTACAGAAACAGCTTATCCCTTGATAAATTACAAAGGAATAGAGACATGTAGTCATACATGGTAGCATAGAAGCATAGATTGGTTTGGGTTTTAAGACATGTTAAAGATCATCTAGTTCCAATGCCCTTGCCACAGGCAGGGACATCTTCCACTAGGCTAGGTTGCTCAAAGCTCCTTCCAGTTTGGTCTCGAACACTTCCAGGGATGAAAGTATCCTTTTAGTCTGTTTGAAGTCAAGCTGGGGTGGGACTTCCAAATGGCCTAATAAAGACCTGTTCATATTTTTCAACTCAACTAACCAAGAGCCAATTGCATATTTTACTCCAAGGAGTACACCTTTACTACACGCTTAAGTGTTTAACATATACTGCTTCAGCATAACTTAATCCCTTCTTATTGCAGTCTTGCTTGCTTTGTACTTTGTGGCAAAGTTTATGCTGCTGAATATATGCATAAATGAAAAAGGGCAAGGGAACTGAAGCTGTGATGGTCAAGAATTGAACATTTTAGGTTAGTTCAGTTCCTGGATCTGTTTAGGACAACTACATCTGGCTTCTTTTAATACAGTTCCCCTTGAGAAGGGTCTAGGCAGACCTTCAAGTAAGCCACTTGGCTTCAAGATCAAGGATCAGCACCAGATTCTCTTCCATTTAGTACAGAGAAATAGCTGATTATGCCACTGATTTATCATTTCTCACTTTCCTCAAGTCGAGGAATTCTTAATTAACCAAAACATAATCTGTTCTTTCCAACTTGTCTGATTGCCCAAAACAGTGAGCAGGTCCACTTGTATCTTTGTTTTATCTGTCCAGCCAGCCCCCATTCTGCATGCTTACAACATCTTTCAGCCTCCTGCATCTACCTCTAAAAGCTTCCTCTACTCCATCCCAAGACTTCATTTGTTTTCACTTTCCAGTCTAGGGACCACCAGAAAATTCTATTTCTATACTTGTATACACAGGTTTTTTAACAAAATATTTGGTAATTATTGAGATAGCTCAATACAGTGGAAGTAGGAAGCAAAAGTTCAAGGACAGAAGTGATCACTCTGTCACTGTGAGTTTGTGGAGTATGGAAAGCAACTTTGAGGTTTGCATTTCTGTGTAATTTCTCTCAGGAAAAAAAAGATAAAATCAGATTGCTTGAATCTGTGTGGGAGAAGACACTGAACTGGATTTTGAGTGTGTGACCCAGTGATCTACCAGAGAGAGTTGTTTTCAAACTGAAGGTAACATCAGAAGTTTGCTAACTTAGAAATTTTGCTGACCACTATATGAGTTGCCAGTACCTGAAACAAAATCTGTTGAGGAAAATCATAGGTAGGATGGGAAAGGTTAAAGATGAATTATAGCAAGATGAGAAAGAAAAATTTGCAGTCATATTTATTCCCCTGAGTTCTGCCTAGGGGTAAACTACAGTTTGCCTAGGCTGGAATTTGCATTTGTCAGTTCCATGACACATGCTTCTGTTCCAAGGGTTGCAGAAAGGGTTCTGCTTCTATTCTGTTTATTTGAAATATATTTCAGTGAGTTCATTCTACTTGATACAGTCATTAACTCTGACAAATATTCAGTGAAAGCAAGGTGTATATATCCATCACTTGTTTAAGTTCTACTTGTAAATCCAGAAACAGGCTTGAGCTGAGTTTCTCTTTGCTACCTTGGAAAAAAATGGAGGCTGGACTTCAAGTAGCTCTACGCTTCAAATCATGGGTGGAGCTTTGATGTTGTAGTTCTTATTAGGATGTAGAAAGGGTTGGAAATAAGAAAGGAATTCTTACAGAAATTCTGCCTTGCTGGGATGAATCTAGGTAATATGCTAGAAAC